CATTTCGACCCCTCTTTGTAAACCATTTCAGTTATCGATTCGAGCTTCTGAAGATCCCAACAGAAGGTTTAACCACCTTGAGACGATATTAGAATAAGTTCTACCGATTCCCGATGCAACCGACAAAGAGATGACTTCAACTTCTGGTGCTTATTACATGGAAGACTCTCAACTGGTTAACAAACCACCATACTTCAATGGAGCAAATTATGTCTATTGGAAGAATATGATGATGCTCTTCATTCAAGCCAATGATCTAGGAGCTTGGAACTTAATCATGAAGGGTTACTCCACTCCACCCGCTGAGATGAACGATTAGAGTGATGGAAAAAAGAATAAGTTCCAGCTAAATGCTAAGGCTATGCACATTCTCTTTTGTGCATTAGGCCCGGGTGAATATGGAAGAGTTTTCTCTTGTTCCAATGCCAAGGAGATATTGTATAAGCTCTAAGTCACTCATGAATGAACCGATGAATTGAGGGAAACCAAGATAAGTCTTCTCAACTATAGCTACTAGAACTTCAAGATGAAACCCGATGAAGACATCAAAGCTATGACGGATAGATTTTTTGTGATTTTCAACGGTCTGAAGGGATTTGGAGAAGTAATCCCTAATGAGAAGCTTGTGAAGAAGATGGCTCTCTTCTAAAGTATTGGCAATCAAAGAATACGTCGATTATCGAAGCTAAAGACCTAAAGTCTCTCACTCTCGACGAGCTTATTGGTTATCTTCTCACTCATGAGTTTATGGTGAAGGAAGAGGAAGAAAATGAAGATAAGTAAAACAAGAAGAAGAATGAGGTAGGTTATGCCTCAAGTCCACCAACGAGAGCTATCAAGATTCAAATGAAGAGTTGGATGAAGATAATAAAGAAGAATAGATGGCCAAGCTCTTCAAAAAGTTCAAGAGATTCATGTCTTCCAAGGAAGTGAAGCATGAATCGACCAAGAAGAAAAGTCCCCCGGTGTGCTTCAATTGTCAAAGAACGGGGCATGTCAAGTATGAATGTCCCCTCCTAAAGAAGAAGGGATCATCCAAGAAAAAGGCATTTGTGGCAGCTTGGAGTGAAGATTAAGTAGCCAACCTATGCCTCATGGCCATCTAAGAAGATTCAATGCTATCTTCTAACTCAAATGATTTAAATTCACATTCTTTTGATGAGTTACAAGACGCTTATAATGAGTTGTATTTGGAATTTGAGACCATGAATTCCAAATATAAGAAATTAATTTCAAAACTTAAAGTTGAAAATGATTTGGTTTTAAAAGCAAAAGTTGATTTTGAAAATCAAAATGAAATTTTGAAAAAAGATTTAGAGCTTTCAAAAATCAAAATCAATGATTTAGAAAAAGAAAATTTTGATTTGAAAGTTAAGCTTGAAAGCTTAACAAAAGAAAAATAATTAATTTCTAAAAACAACTCATTATATTTAAAAATGGTAAAATGCTCACATTGCCATTTTTATGGTCATTTGGAACATACTTGTCCCATAAAGAAAAAAAATCTTTTAAAATTAGACAAGTATGGGTTCCTAAGGGAACAAGGGGCATTGAAACTAACGTCCAAGAATCCAAAGCAATTTGGATACCAAAATCCAAATAAATGTCTCTTGTAGGTGTGTGGGAGCAATAGTGATGAAAATGAAGATATTGAAATGCTCTAGCCACACTTGAAAAAGGAATGGGTAACCTCTAAGTTTAATGCTTTTATTTTGGTTATTTGGTTTCTCATTTAGTTTATGCATGCATGAGTTTTTTTTTTATTTTAAATGATTATGCATTGTTTTTAATTTCATATATGTTGAAAAGTACTTTATGATGAACATTTTAAAGTTTTAATGATTTTTCATAATTTTTAGTTCGTCATAATGAATTTTGGTCAAAATTGATTTTCAATGCAAATGATATCTCTCTAACAATTGATATCAACTTTTCAAATGCTTTGATTTTACAAATTTTAAATTTTTGACCTTAATTTTAAATGTTCATGCAAATGATTTATTGCAAATGATATCTCTCTAACAATTGATATCTATTTTTCAAATGCATAACATTTTCGGATTTCTTTATGCACATGCACTTAAATTCAACATTTAGTATTGCATAAAGTATTTTAGACTTTAATATTGAATTACATGTGCTACTAACATGTTTGTTATTCTTTGTTGAAATTCAATTTTGTTTAAGTGTCAAGCTTTTAAAGTTAATTTTTGTTTGGAATGCATTTTTTGAGTGGGAGCTTTGATTTTTCAAATGTTTTAAATGACAAGTTTATCACTTATTCTCCAATGTTATTTTTAGAACTTTACAGTTGAATTATTTTTTATATAACAAAAAGGGGAGAAGTATGGTTTGAAAATTTCAATTTCTTAATGAAAAAGGGGGAGCTGAACATTTTCCAACAATTGGTATTTTTTTCATTAAATATTTTATTAAGGGGGTTTTGCTAAAAAAAAAATTTCAAATGTTTTGTTATATCAAAAAGGGAGAGATTGTTGAACTATATTTTGATATAACAATTTAAGGCAAAATGTTTTTGGACTTCAATTGAATTTATTCAAAGTTTTCAAAGTTTTCAAAAATAATTAAAAGCCCTTAAAAGTGGATTTGAGCACAAAATGATTTTCACGTACATACAGTATCGATACTTCATGAACAGTACCGATACTGTTCATATGGTACCGATACCGAAGGTAAGGGAAGTATCGATACTCACTACGTAGTATCGATACTCACTACGTAGTATCGATACTACTAGCAATGCTCAAATTCCAGAATGCAAAAATGGTACCGATACCAAAAGGGGTACTGATACTACTTTGTATAGTAGTATTGATACCATAAGCATAGTATCGATACCATAAGCATAGTATCGATACCATCAGGCCCCAACGGCTAGTTGATTTAAAAATAACAAAGGTAGTATCGATACTCCCTTTAGGAGTATTGTTACTCTCTGTACTGGGCATTTTTATTTTGCAGAGATTTCATCCCCAAATGGCTAGAAATCATCCCAGTAGCTAGAAACGGTCACATATTCATTCCAACATATAAATACAAGATCAAGACACTTGAAGAAGGGTTATAGCACCTATCCAAGCAATCAAACACAAGAGAAGATTTTTTAATTCTTAATTTTCTATTCTCTTGTAAATATTGTGTTTTAGTGATCTTAAATTTGTAAACACCTAGTAAGGGTTTTCTTGTTTATACTATCTTTTCTTTTGTTTTAGGGGTTTGGCTCTAGTTTAGCCAAGTGAAAAACTAGGGAGTGTAAAGGTTATCTCTTTGTCCTTGAAAAAGAAAGAACAAATTAGTGAATTTGTTAGAAAATCCTTAGTGAGGAGCTAAGGTAGTGGAGGTAGACTTTGGTTGATAAAGTCGAACCACTTTAAATCATTGTGTCAAATTTCTCTATATTTTTCTCTCCTTACTCCCTAAACAAATTTTTACATATTCACCCCCTTTGCACATTTTCGGTTGTTCAATTGAGCCTCTTCAATCCTAATATTTTGAATATCTATTTTATGAAATATTACAACTTAAGCCCAATCCGTATATTAATACTATTTAATATATCATTTATCTAATAACAGATGCAAAAATGTTTTTCAAGATGGAAATATATATTAATAATATAGTTTTTGTATGAGATAAACACAAATAAAATTTAAACAAAGTGTTATCAATAAAATAATAATTAACATGAAGAAATTTGAATTTTAATATAAACACATACTTACCCTAAGAAAACACATACATCAGCCACTAAATATAACATATATTCAATATTTAATTTAAACTACCTCAGTAGTTAAAAAGATAGTTGGTATCCCTAGAGATCTCATGTTCTAGCACCAACGACTGCACAAGATATTTAAATATTCGTTATCAAATGATTGAAAGTCTCTAGAACATATATTGTCACTTGTAATCAATAGTAAAAAAAACTCTATATAATTTTTATTTTTCTAGGAAAATATTCAAATATTTTGAATTGAATGGATGAGTGAATTGAAAAATATAGATAATACGATATCTTATCGTCGATGGTCTAATTTAAAATTAGTTTATAATATATTTTAATTTAAAATATTATATTGTTTAATTTCAAAAGTTGTATATTGATAATAATTTCAGTTACAACTGAGAATGATATATTATGGTTAAATGTCTACTCTGAAAAATTAGACAATTAATAATAATTTCAGTTATAACTCAAAATATTTTGATAATAGCATTTTAGGTTTGCAATTCAAAATAATTATGTAGTTTACCTAATTTATTATAGGTAATGTATTATTTCTGACTTCATACTAAAATACTACTCAATTTATTCTAAAAAAACCTAAACTCTTAATAATATTTTCAGTTACAATCCATTTTTACTTTATTTTTTACTTTATACGTTAAACTCATACCAAATATTCTTCACATAATTTAAGGAATGATTTTAAACTTTGGATAGACATGATATCTGAATTTGATAGGTTTCGACTTGATTTTATTAAGTCGACTTTCTTTTAAAAATTAAATTCGAGTTGTGTCATGTCAAGTCAACATTTTTAGATTATAAACTTGGATCAGTTCGAGATTGATTTTAAGATGAACAATATCCGACTCAAACCAAAAAATATAATATAATTATATTTTATATATTTATAGATAATTGTAATAATATCATTCTATATATTATTTTTTTCAATTGGATTATTATTTTATCATATAAAATTAAAAATTATATATACATAAAAGGTCAAATCAAATCAAACGGATCAAATCGAGTTAATTGTATATTTTATCTTAAAATATGGACCAAATTTTGAATCAGGTGAAATGACCATAAACCCATATCAAATCAGATTTTGGGTGTATTTTTATAGTTAAATTGATCGAAAATCCGATCCATTATAGGTTAATCTAATAAAAAATTAAATCAGCAGTAAATAATAATAAAAATAACTTCATTTTACTCTGCTCCCGTAAACCCCAAAAATTTGTGTATTTTGAAAATTTCTTGCAAACGAAGGTACCTTCTTCCTTCATCATCAATCAAAAACCTTTTTTTTTTTCATTTCCTTTCTCCTTTGAACTCTTCCCTCTCCACCCTCAAAATCAAATATTTCCATTTTCCCCCAAAAGTTATCGCCATGCGTGGTGAAAAATCTTTAGCTATAGTTGCATCACCATCTGCGGCGACGGAGACGAGAGATTCAGCGACAGCGTTAGCTCCTGGGTTTCGATTCCACCCAACAGATGAGGAGTTGGTTAGCTATTACTTGAAAAGAAAAGTTTCAAACAAGCCTGTCAGATTTAACGCTATCGCTGAAGTTGATTTTTACAAGCATGAGCCTTGGGACCTTTCAGGTTGAATGTTTGGGTTTTTTAAATTTATTATTATTATTTTTTTGTTTTTTAAAATATTTTTCTGAAATATTCTGGAAATATAGAGGTTTTTGTTTTAAAAGCTTTACATTTGGTAAAGCTGTGTTTAAGGGTTTTTTTTGGGGGAAGGTTTTTTAGTAAAAAAATTAAGAATATTGTGAAATATTTTTTTCTTATTTGCATGTTTGAACATTTCTCTATTGGGTCATTCCAGTATTGTTCACAATTGAATTTTCTTAGAATATTTTGAAATATTATCTGTTCAAGTTCTTAAGAACCTGTGACAATATACAAATGCATTGTCTTTACTAGGTAAATGCAGTATCCTTTGTTATCAGTTCACTTTCGTCTAAGAAATGATATTCTCATGGATATTAAGTTTTCTTTGTGTATATCTGTTTCCTTGTATTTGTTTTTTCTCTCCTCTTTTTTTGTTGTGGTAAGTGCTTGGATATCTGCATTATACTGTTTTTCTGCTGTATACTGGTGGATTTTAATTTCATTTTAAGCCATGGTACTAAAGTTTCTTCTTGGTGGGGGTTTCTTTTTAGACAAGTCAAGGTTGAAAACCAGAGACCAGGAATGGTATTTTTTCAGTTTACTGGACAAGAAGTATGGAAATGGAGGAAGAATGAATAGGGCAACAAACCAAGGGTATTGGAAGGCCACAGGGAAGGACCGAGAAGTCCGCCACAATGCACAGCTTATTGGGATGAAAAAGACACTAGTATTTCATAATGGGAGAGCTCCAGATGGGTTGCGGACCAATTGGGTTATGCACGAGTATCGGCTTGTCGAAGAAGAATTGGAAAGAATTGGGGCATTGCAGGTCTGAGAACTTTTAATTTGATCTTGATCTTGGTGGCGATCGGTTATGCATGGCTGCAAGTATTGATGTTATGGTTTATATTTTTATTTATGTTGAAAGAAATTTAACATGAAATACTTTAGTACATTATGCCTTCTGTGATGGATTGTGCTGCATCGGTCTGATTATGATGAACAACTTACATACTGTAAACACGTTATTCTGTATGGAGTACATATGAAAATTGAAGTATGATGAGGTGAACTTTTTGTATTTTTTCTGCTTTGGTTTCATCACAATTTGGTTGCTGAGAAAATTTAGAAAAATGAACTATAAATGTGATTCCAGTTGTCATTCATTATGATGTTTTACTTGATACAATAAACATGCATGTGCACCTTGCTTGAAGTTGGTAGTTCAGACTATTCCGCAGATCTGTTGGTAATTTGAAACTTTAACTTTAGAAATCCAAGAATTTTCTCTAAACCGAACTTTACTATTGTACAATTATGGAAACTAACCTTATAAGAATTATTTCTTTTCCTTTCTATTTTTTCTCCTTTTGGTGTTCAAGGGGTATGTGCTATGTAGAGTATTTCATAAGAATAATATCGGACCACCCAATGGAAACCGATATGCCCCTTTCATTGAAGAAGAATGGGATGACGGTTCAGAAGCATTGGTTCCAGGAGTAGATGTTGGGGATGATGATGTAGGTGGAAATAATTTGATAGATGGGAAGGAAGTGGCAGCAGATAAGAATGAAGTGATTGAAAGGAATGGTGTTCAAAGGATTAGTTTTGAGCAGGTTTGTCTTTATTTTTTCTTGCTTCATCGTCTTTTTTTATCGAGGTTTATTGTAGATGCTCATATTTTCAGTGTTAAAGGTTACTGTAGTTTTTTCGCTTTGATAACTTCACATCAATATTTCAAGCATCATATAATACTTTCACCAACTGGTTTTGTGAGCTGACGGAATTTAATAATACTATGCTTATTTGACCTTTTCGTTAAAAGAAAGATTCCAAGCCTAAGAACCTCTCATTTATTCCTTTCTCTGTCTCGAAGATTTTTGCTACAATGGCAACAAAAATTCAGGCATAGCCTGCTAAGCTCTCACCTGCAAGGATACTTTTATAATAGCAACTTCAGTAATAAAACACGAAAATTCAATACATGTGGGATAATAGCAGTTAACATCTTCTAGCTTGACTGACAAGTTCATGGAGCATAAAGTTGTCAAAACTTTACATCCTCTGGAACCTAATACAATTTCCTTGTGTTTCAAGAGTAATACGTTTTCGGAATTTGTTCTGCTTAAATGCTCTTGGCGGATTTAGCTCCCCCATGATGTGAGATAAATTTGAAACTGACAATCATTTGAACCCTGCTGTTAGAATTGATACCAAACTAATATCATGAGCATTTAACTTTTAAACTCGGGATCTCACTATTGTTTAACTTACTAGGGAAATGGAGTCCACTTAGGCCAGCTCTGCCAAACTAATTGTTTAGGCCTTTTACTTTATTATTAAGCTTTCAAATTCGGGATCTCACTATTGTTTAACTTACTAGGGAAATGAAGTCCACTTAGGCCAGCTCTGCCAAACTATTTACATCAAGGATGTTTAGGCCTTTTACTTTATTATTAAGTTAATTGAATTGTGTCTATTTTGGGTAAATTTACAACCAGTCTAAAGAATAAAGCCGCGTAAGTAGTTTGGTCCCAAATAGCTAGTAAACTTTAATTGTGATGTGTGGTAATCTTGTCATGGTTTTAAACTTTAGAAAGAGTTGTGCGCATGCTGTGATGTTGCTGCCTTTTTTCCCTGTGTTGTCTCTCGAAGAAAGAGTGATGGAATCTGTAAATTCAAAGTACTGAAATTCCCAGAGTGATAGTATGATACTAGGAAGCGTCTTGACAATAAATTATGTGATTCAGGTTCTTTAAACCGAACTGCTGTTGTTCTGCATCTCTTCATGGAGTGTGTACCATGTTTTCTTGTCATTTTCCTTTTATGCTTGGAATTGTGAATGTTGTTTGCTTGTGATTCTGCTATGATTATGATTATCATATTTATATTTTTGTTTCTCCTAGTGGTGAAGACGTATTCAAGGTTTTATGTGCATTAAGATGAAGTTTTATTTGCAATCAAATGTGATGTTCAAACAATAATAATTCGATTGTTGCATTAAGGCTTGTTTCATCTATATGTTGAATTATAGGAACTGATATATTAAAATAAAATTTCAAAATGTATTTCGAAAACTTCTTTTGCACTTCCAGGAGATTCAAAATGCTGATGAGGATGTACCAGCTGATGATGAAGGTCCGAGGAAGTCACCGAACGAGAGAACAGATGACCGTCCTTCACTAACTGCATGCAAGATGGAGAGACTGAATAAAGGCCCTTCTTTATGTTTGGTTAATAGAGAAGCACCCTTACCGCTAATCCATTACAAGAGAAGACGCCAGAACGATTCAGGACCCAACCATGCAAATGTTTCCGAGAACTCAACTAGAGCAACTCAGGATAACTGTTCATCTACAACAACAGCAGTGACGACCTCAATGTCACCGTCATCAGATACAACCACGGCAGTTTCTGCACTCTTGGAATTTTCTTTAATGGAATTCAGAGAAACCAGAGAGAAGAAGCCTCGTGTTCCACCACCGATATATGAAACCGCTAATCTGGATTCAATGTTGCCTCCTGGCTGCATGAAACTTATCAAGGAATTGCAGGATGAGGTCCGCAAGATTTCTGCCGAGAGGGAGACATTAAAGCTCGAAATGATGAGTGCTCAAGCGATGGTTAACATTCTCCAGTCGAGATTAGATGTGCTTATCGAGGAGAATGAGGAGCTGAAGGGGGGAGGGGGGAAGAGAAGGGATCATGTAGCCATCCTTAAGAGGTAGCATCTGGTTTGAATCCAAACGTCTGCAATAATTTCTTCTCTGTTACTTGCAGCCTACTTCTGTAAAAATGTAAACGAAGAGCTTAAGTACTCTTAATGTTTTCTGGTGTTCTTCGTGGACATTGTATTAGCATTTGGTTGTTGAAGAATGTTGTAGCGTTGCTGCTTATTTATGCCTAGTTTTTCATACTTTTCCCTTCTCAACTAGTAGAGATGGATGATTTCCTTGATTTTAGGCTACTATTGTTTCCCATAAATGTCGAGCTCCGTCTACATAGAAACGAAGCACCGAGAAATCAGTATGATGATTCCTCAATTGGCGAACATAGGAAGAGTCGCTCTCTACAATGAATCATGGGAAATCAAACTCGACCGCCAGTTGGATGCCATAGAGAACTACATGCGGCTCAAGAATTCCTGCTTTGCAAGATCATGGAAAACGGAGCACGACCTGTAAGCATTAAACTGCTTGAACCTTGAGCAATTACACCAACTGTCAGCGATCCAGTATGCATTGGACAAGCCTCATCGATGTTGATCTTTATGAATCCCGAAGGAGGCTTGCAGCAGCGGTTTGGCTGAATGGATGATGAGGAAGGAGAGGAGGTTGCTTGGATGGATGTCAATTGCAAGGCTTGGCTCGAAGCAATCAGGTACCAACCTGGCAGCATGCATGCTTCATGCAAGAAAACATTGATACAATACCAAATTTGCGAGAATATTAGGAGAGCAATAAAGCTTCCGACATCCACAATATCCAACAGAAATTACAGCCAGACACCGAAGGAAGTGTGCACACCACCAACCACGATAGATCAAAACCCAGCCAATGAAGAAAAATCAGTAGCACCTTTGGACAATCGCACAAAGCATGCAAAATCGTTTTCTCCGCCAAACCGCTCATATGACAATGACCAACACTAGCAAGAAATAATCGGCGACCACCCTGAAGGGCCTCGTGCTGCTAGCTACCTGAATAATTGACCCCTAGGTAGTGTGGGCAGGCAGGATAAATATAGCCAGTCATGAAAGTCATCACAGGTATGTGTTACAGCGCAAGCCAAGAATAGCCCGAACGTACAGAATAGCAGGAAGAGTGGCCACGCCAAACTGCAACATCTGATGTGAATGGGGGTATCGGACAATTCAAAATGGTATCGGCACCCGAGTGGGAGAAAAACCATTGAACTTGGTTGCAATTCCACTGTGGAACATTAGGAAGTATGAACTCACCACATTGAATCGGGTTAGTGGCTCATTATCAACATACATACCTTGGAAGAAAGATGGAGGGGGTGAAGAACCACCCTAGCGATCGCAATGTACGTGCACACTGCTATCAATCCTGACTCGCCAATGAAATCTCACGATTGGTTGTCCAGGATCAACCTGATTTTATTTCGGATAGAAGCATTATGGATGGCAAAATCCTGGCACAAGGGGTCATACATTCCATGCATCAATAATCTAGTGAAACGAGTTGAATGGCGGTAAAGGTATATATGACTATGACCAATTGGAATGAAGTTTCATTGAGGATACTCTTTTTGACATAGGCTAAGTTGGTCTTCTGAAGAAGGTTGAAAGGGTCTGAAGGCATATGACAGACTCATAGGGTGTTGAAGATATTTATCACATCTTGCACTTGTGGAGGAGCTTGGTTAAACCAAAGATGGTTAATGAGTTTCATTTCAAAGCTGAATTTGCTTGATTAGTAATTAACACACCAACCATCCATATTCCACAACACATTACCAGAAACTCAACTGCCAATAAAATTAAAATCCTAAATCATTTGTAATTTTTACTTTAATTCAGTCTCTTTTTAACCCATACAAATTTTACCAGTATTCCAAAATCATATTTTGAACAAGTTCACTATAAATGTCAAAAAAAAAAGTCACGATTCCTCTTCACTAGCATCAGCAGCAGCAATCTCTGAATCCAATTTGTTTATTAGCTGCTCACTTACATGTTTCGCTACCGTTATCATGTCAAGAATAATGCTCGGGTCTAGGCCAGCACCTCCCCTTTTCGTGTTGCAGCAGATGCGCCCTTTCTGGTTGACGAAAATCGAGACAGCTGAGCTCATTTGCGATTCCTCTTCTGATGTAGCATCGACGATATAGTGCCTCCCCACCTAGGTGCATACAAGAAGATAAAGATGAGATGGCAAAATTCTTTTCGACGATTGACAAAAAATTATAATGCACTGCTTTACCTTTGTTATTGTAACTACGACGGGGATCCCAGATATGTCGAACTGCAGTTTTGGGTAGATAAACGTCTATTAACGTAATCATATAAATACATTATATTAATTGTGGTATTGTTAACTTAATAAAAATTTCGACCAAATAATCAGCAATAGAAAGTTTTTGGGTAAAAGAGGGCACTACTTTTGACAAAAATTGACAACAAATGAGAGACCTAGGTGAATTTTTGGTTATAGTGCTTCGCATAAACAAACAAACAAAAGGAAGTTTAGAGTAGATTACATTTGTTCAAAAATGTCAGAAAACTGCTGCGTAAAGACTTTAGGGTACTGAAAATACAAGAATCACACTTCTGGGTAAGTATAAGAGGGCAAGCCACACACAAAAACCCAAACCAAAACCCGCATTCCATGCATATAACAAACCAGTTCACTTTGTTCCCATTACCCACATCTTCTCCTACGCTGTTACTAGTGGGAACCACAGCCTTTGAATTATTTGTCAGTGGTGGTCCGTACAGTTTATTCCTCATAAAACTTGATGGACTGAAGCTTTGGAGCTGTGTACCCAATGGGATCTTCCCACTGAGATTGTTGTAGGACAAATTCAGATAACTCAAGAACGTTAGCCGAGACATGGACTCTGGGATTTCCCCTGAAAGTCTGTTTTCTGATAAATCAACACATTCAAGCGTGTTCATGGCACCAATGTTCCCAGGAATCTTTCCAACAAGATCATTTCTCGACAGATTCAACGATAGCAGGTCAATGAGAGTTGTGATTTCCTCGGGGATCTGTCCTGTTAAATTGTTGTCTGAAAGATCCACCAGTTTTATTAGTTTGAGTGTAGTGCTGTAATCGAACACCGCCCCTTTCATTGTAAGTTCTATGTTATCGAAAAAGCATCCCTTCGATGTCTTGTAAGATATCGTGCGGTTCGATTTGTTTCTCGTGATCATTGCCGTGAGATTCTTGATGCAGGTTGGGATTTCCCCTGATAAATTGTTGTGGGAGAGGTCCAGGATTTGGAGAGATGGTAGGCCACAGATTTGGTCCGGTATTTCCCCGTGGAACATGTTCCACCGGAGGCCGATGATGATCAAATTCGAAAGCCTTTCTCCGATCCACAGCGGGATTTCTCCAGAGAATCGATTAGCGGAGAGGTCGAGAGTGAGTAGTTCTGTACAATTCGACATCGATTCGGGGACTTCCCCGTGCAGATTGTTGTTGCTTAGGTGCAGGGACTGAAGAGAAGTTAAAGCTCCCATCGAGGGTGGGATTTTACCACTAAAGTTGTTGTGACACAATTCAATTGCCACCAAGCTACCCCATTTCTCCCAACAATCCGGTATTTCCCCCGACAGGAGATTCCCACCAAGGCTGAGAACCTCCAGCTTCATCGGTTTCCGACACAGAAACCACGACATAGACCCCGAAAAACCGTTATCCGAAAGATCTAAAGCCGTCATGTTTAAGGAGACAGCAGGCAGTGAACCGGTGAAGTTGTTGGAGCTCAAGTCCAACACAAGAGCAGCATGATTTGTAAGCAAATCCGGGACGTTTCCCCGGAAATGATTCCAGGAGATGTTGAGATATTGCAGATGGGAAGTCAAGTTCCAAAACCAACCGGGGATTTGAGTTCCATCGAAGGTATTGTTGCTCAAGTCCAAGACAGACAGAGACTTCAAATCTAGCAAAGCAGGGTTCAACTCACCGCCAAGCTTGGAACTAGTAAGGTGAAGCTCAGTGACATGGGAAGTAGAATTGTCACAAGAAACACCCGCCCATTTGCAGCAATCTGGGTTTGCAGACGTCCAATTAGCCAACAACATGCTTGATGAGTGTTTTAGATCCTTCTTGATCTTCAATGCAACAGAAGCCGTTCGTAAGCATGTTTAAACACAGCAATAACCATAAAATGATTGCAACAGAATCCATTCACCTTCAACCATAATGCTGCACCGCTTGTAAATGACCATTCCCAGCTCCACATCTTTCAATATTCCTGAAATAAAGTGCAAAACAGATCCACCTTTTAGTCATTCATTGATTAACGTCACATATTCTAAAGTATTATTTAGAAGTTTCCATGGAGTTTCTTTCGGGGAAAAGAAAGATTGCTGATAACCACACCAGTAGTCCCACTCAAACTGAATAACAATGTACGGACACAAAAATTTATATTATAGGTGCAAACTTAAGAAATTATATTAAAAATTTTAAGAGCTGCGAAGATATAAAATTTTAAGGGTTTAATAAAAAACGCAACGAAAAAATTTAAAATATAAGATAATTTGAAAATTCTAGTGGATGTGACCACACCCATCAGTCTATCCATGATGACATCTACCGCTGAACAAATTTAATTTGACTACGTGTTAAATAAATTTTGTTATAAAATAATATTTTAATAAATTAAAAATTTTAATAATTGATGAATTAATTTTTAAATTCGAGTTAAATCTCTAAATTTTACATATCTACGTACATCACATGTGAAAAATTATGAATAAATGTATATGTCTATTATATATGGTTGTAGAAAGTTTTTTACATATGAATTAGTCAGTATTATAATATTATAAATATTTATATTAAATTTAAATGAAAATAATGATAACTCGATTGAAAAAATTTTAAGTAAAATTCAAATTATAAAATAAAATTTATTTACTTAACTATTTTAAAATTTTTTAATTTGATTCGACTTGATCAAATAATATTCACAATAATTCGATGATGCTGGTAGTCAATGAAAATATTTGTCAGTTCAAAAAGGTTTGAAAAGATGGTTAACGAATGAGTGAACGTCACCTTCACATTTATGGTAATAAAAAAACAAGACGAAATGAGAGAGAAATGATAAGGTCGTTTTCATTGAATCGAACGAAACATGTAGTCATTATCATATCTCTTTACCACCAATCATTGGAATGCCTTGCTTGCACTTACATTACATCTGTGCAAAATTTCAATTCTTTGATCGACATTTGCTCGAATTATTATTTTAATAATAATAATATTTTTATTTAAATTTAAAATGCAAAAGAAAAAAAGAAAAAAATTATTAATTATGTTTTGATCCATAAATTCAAATATTTTCTTTGAAATATTTGATAATTTTTATCAGATTAACAGATTAATGTCATATCTTTTAGGTAAGATACTTTTAACACTCCTGGTCACCAGCATCAAAAACACAATCTTCTAAATTAAAAACACACACACATATACAATCTTCTACTTGGATTAAAAAATGTGAATCATGACCAAACGTCCAATTTAACATATTAATCAGCCAATTAAACCATCTTAATCCACTATCTTATTTGTTATACATCGACACTTTTAATTTAATCATTAAATATTTAAAACACCAATGTTTTAATTATTCCAACACTAATTCATTAACATGCATTCATTTTAGTTATAATTTCAACAACACAGGGTAATATATATTCAAAGATTCTCAATTATTTACTACAATAATTTAGGTAGAGGTGAACAAAAAACTAAAAAAGAAAAAGGGAATTTTTCTATTCGACTCGATTCAAAAAAATAAAATTTTCAACTCGAAAAATTTCAAATTCATGTCGCGTTATAAAATAGAACTCGAATGACTCAAAATTTATAATAAGTAGTGAATTAATTTTCAAGTTTTAGTTGAATCCTTTAACTATGCATGATACATGTATATCACATATGAAGAAATACATATACTCGTTGACTTAAACTGGAATAAAATAATATTATAATATTATAAATATTTTTAATTAAATCTAAACAAAAAATAGAACTCAACTCAGTTTGAAAAATTTAAATAAAGTTTGAGTTATAGAATAGCAGTCACAACTCAAATATTTCAAAATGTTCTAACTCGACCAGATTGAATGAACCCTTAACTCTAGGAACAGTTTTTGTATGTTTAAAAAGGGTGTACCCTAAGGGCCAACATGCCGCTGCTCGTCAAATGAGTATAAAAACAACTTGGCATAATATAATATTATATTAGACATTGGCAAGTACATGATGCATCAGCTGTCTTTAAAAATCCATGTGAAGATTTCAGCTGTCTCAAATCCTTGAAAAGTGATATTTAGATGAAAAAGCTGATTTATCTTTGTTTTCATTCTATAAGAGTGAAAAGTTCATTAACATTGATTAACCAGAAAATAAAATAATTGTCAGGAAATTCCATCTTAAACTCCAAAACTGGATTTTTGTTAACCAATCCATAGGGACATATTCTCCACATGAGTGCAGCAAAGATAAAAGAAGTTGAAGATATAGATACAGGAATGAGGTCTAAATCCTCATAATTTCCTGTTTTGATACTAATATTTCCACCAGGCCTTTTTACTCAGTTTTACATTGAGTTGTGCAAAGTATGAACATGAACAATTTAACAGACAAATAGAACTGGAGAAACAAGATAGAAACCAAAATAACTAGTGCACGGTGAATAAGTTAAAAGCAGAAAAGGCCGCAAAATAACCAGTGTCGGTTGTGGGTGCAAAGGCCTTGATGTGCTAGCTGAGTTTGTAAAAGTTGGAAGCATAGGAGGTTGCATGCCACTAAATTCTGGATAAAGTGATACATCGAAGGGTAGAAACCTAAAAAAAATCATTTGTTGAAAATGAACTAACAAGTAATAATTATAAATATATATAATATTTAATTGAAAGAGCGTTTTAAGACCTGGTTGTCCATTATAGTTTACTTCGAAAAGCAGTTGAGAGTATCTTGTTATATTAGTTAATGGAATTTTTTTATATTTATTTTGAGAATATCTATAATACCCCAACATTTTGGTTAGTGACCAAAATGTAAAATTTGAAAGTTTGATGGCCAAAGTAGAAAATTGGTAAAAGTTTAAAGACCAAAATGGTAATTTTGTAAAAATGAATTTTTATTCTATAAAAGGATTTGGTTAGTGACTAATTTTAAATATTAAAAGTTTAGTGGCCAAAGTATAAACTTTGGAAAAGCTCAGGGACTAAAGTGTAAATTTAAAAAGTTATGTAATTTGGCCCTGTAAATGAATAGTTTACCCTCAATAATGACGTTTATGTGGGAATCAAATTTTTTGTACGGAATTGGTATTAAAAGCTATAAAGTGATAAAGTCCGATAAAAATTCGGTAAATCGAATCGAATCGAATAGAAATTTTGGAAAAATTTGAAGGATGATAAACTAAGCTTAAAAAATATTATTTCCACATTTTAAAATGATATAAAATAATATAAACCATTGGATTTGAGTATTTAATTCCATGTTAAATTTGGACCGTTGGATTAAAGTGACAATATTGTAATTTTTGGAAAATTACAAGAGCAAAACGGTAAAGTGAGAAATATTTTGTTCATCTTTGACTTTGGAAGATGATAAGGTTTATGAGGCTTGGTATTAAGGTAAATATCAAGTTTCATTAAGGGTAAATTAATAAAGATATTTTAATTTTAAGGGTAAATTGGTAATTTAGCATTTAATGAATTTTTAAATCATTATTTATAAAGAAAGATGAAGAATTATCAAGGGAATTTCTTCTTCTTCACCAGCATTGTTGTGAACCACTCCAAAGGTAAGAGAAAAAGATTGTTTTCCATTTTTTGAGCAATTCCTTTGGATTTCGGGTTATGCCGTTAAATAGAAAATTATTCTGCGCGAGAGACGCTATATTTTGATACCATTTATGCTTGCTAATCTTGCTTGATTTCAAAGATCCCAAAATTTAGGGTTTTTGTTCACATTAGGGTTCATGAAATTGATGACGAATCTTGATTTTTTGAGGTTGTAGATTCATTTTCAAGCTTGTTTGATGATTAAAACATGTTCAATCTTCATAGAAATTGTTCTTTAAAATTCCACCAAATTATTGAGTTATGGAACTTTGCTTTTTTGATGAAATTTGATTAGGTCTTTGATTGTAGAGATGATGTAATCTTGGATGGAAGTTGATTTCATGCTTGAATCGAATCAAAATCAAGCAAAATCTTGAAAAACCTTGTTTTAGAACTTTGAGCCTTTGACCTTTGTCTTAAAGGATGAGGAAAATTCTGAAAAAATTATGTAAGGGCTGTAAATGGTGTAGAAAGTATTTTACAAGCCTTAGAAACTTTTAGGGACCATTTGGTAATTTTGAAAAGTTGAAGGAACAAATTGGCAATTTTGGAAAAATGATGGGTTATTGTGTAATTGTTCTATATTTGATGTACTATGCTGGAAATTAATGTTTTAGTGTTGAAATTGAAGTTAGGATGTGAAATTGGATTATTTTGTGAAGTTGAGATAAAATGGAACTTGAGTGGTCAATTAGAAGTATTAAGGTCAACATTTATGTTATGACATGGAAATTGTATCGAATAAGCATCGAAAAATTTGTTAGGAATTTATTTTTCCAAAGTATGTCTATGTTAGTAAGATTCTAACATTTGGTTTTGAAATTGTGTATGTTTGGTAATGATGTCCATTTAGATTGAGTGCTTGAAATCAAGATCAAGCAATATCAAAGCTAAGGAAAAGCTTAAGGATAGAATGTGAAATCCTAAGGGAAGTTTGCAAGCTAAGGACACCAGGTGAGTGCAAATTTAATTTGTACTTATGTTATCGAACAAACATTGGCTTGCTATGAGCCAGTGACATAGTTATTATAGTAAGGAGTGAATCCTAAAATGTTTATGTTATTTGTGATGCATGCATATATGTGCATTTGGTGAGATAATAGAATTAGTGAACAAGTTGAAAATACAAACTGGTGAAATCTTCTTAGAATTTATGTTCTGAACAGTAAGTTTAGAAAATCATCATATATTATAAAACAATTATTAAAGGA